AGGGAATTCATGACAGTTTAAAAGTCTGTAAGAATAGCTAAGTCTCATGAGCATGTGGCCAGGGAGGGTAGAGGATAAACGGAGTTAAATTGGTAATGAACTTCCTTCTCACTGTGCTTGGAGATGCTCACCTAATCTACTGACTCTCAGTAAACAATTTGGCTGCCTAATTAGGTTAACTAGTAATTTCCCTTTTGACACCCAGGCTGCTTGATAATTTGGGGGTAACTGTGATTCTGTTTCAGTGTTTCTTTTCTAAGTGAATTTCTCAATTTGCCTCTGGGACTAAAGCTGGGAGAAAATTCTCACTATTCCCCAGACCCACCATGACTTTTCATGCCCCCAAGCCTGGTCTCCGGCAATTGCCTCCGCAGGGATGCCTTTCTCAGATCCCTGGGGCTCAGCGCAATTCCCACTGGCCTTCAAGCCCAGGTGCCTAGTGAAGGGAAAGAAGGAATGAGCCTTTGTACCCTAAGGGCAAAATGAATGGCTCCTTTTACTGTCATCTCACAGCTCTTTAAACAATTAATATTAATAGCTAGCATGAATTAAGGATCAACACAGCTTGGCAAATGCTATATAGTACAGGCTTCCGGCCACACTTCAAGGAAGAAAGAGGACATACTGTCTTTGTACTTTGTTATTATTGTGGTAAAACATACAGAACCCTTTTAACCATTTTTAAGTGTACAATGTGGCAGCATTAAGTCCATGCATGTTGTTATGCAACCATCACCACCATCCATCTCCAGAACATCTGCATCATCCCAAACTGAAACTCGATACCCATTAAACACTAACTCCCCATTTCCCCCCTCCCAGCCTCAGTGATCACTGGCACATCATTTTAGAAAAGAGGAAAATGTAGCACAGGACCTGAGGGGGCTTGCTTGAGGTTTCAGAGCTGGGACACGACACAGACAGGATTTGAGACCAAGTCTCCTGGTTAGACTTTGGAACCACCTCCTTCCACCCCACTGCATTGCCAGCTACACCTCCGCTACAGGCAGGGCCGCAAAGCAGTCACAGCTCCCCTCTCCAGCTATTCATCTAGATGCTGGATTCTAGAACAATGCCTGCCTGGCACACCGAGGAAGTCCGGCATAGCTATAGAACAAACCACAGAGGGAATCTACTGAAGAGATACTGTGTCAACCTGAATGGAGCCCAAATTGCAACCTCTGCTTTCTAAAAAGCATTTATCGGATGCCAACTGTGTGCCTGGCGTGAGGCCAGCTCCTCCTTGCTGTGGCCCCATCGGCAGGAGAGGCCTGAGGCCTGGCTCTGCCTGACGGCCCTGAGGGGGAAGATTTGTGTTTACATTACCCAGTCAATCCTGTATTTATTTTGAATATTAAGCAGTGACATAAAAGCTGCTGACATTAACCTTCAGGGGCAGAAATTGGCTTTAATGGACCTCATAAAAGTTATTATTGATGGCAGCTACGTGCAACATCACCACGACCTCAGCAAAAGCCTCCACCACTATCAATACTGTTGACAATTACTATTGAGTAATGCAAGGCTGGGCGTGCAGGCAGAGTCGATGCTCTTGCGGCTGGAAGCTGCCAGGGGTCATGCCTTTCCGTTCTCAACTGAGAGTCCAACACTCTTGCTGACTCAAACGGAGGTGGGCAGAGAGCTCAGACTATAGCATCGGAAAGAACTGAGTTCAAATCCAAGCTTTGCTGACCTGCTGAATGACTGGCTGTACAGTCTCTGGAAAGTCAGTTGACCTTTTGGGAGCCTCAGTTTTCCCATCTGGGAAATGGGAATGCCAGGGCGTTGTCATGATGATTAAAGGCAATGGTGCATGTGCAGTGACTTGATGCATGGGCAGGCCCTCGCCATGGCCTCCCTGTACTGAAAAGCAGCAGCGATGCACTGGCTCACATGCCCAGTGGGGTCCAGCCCTGTCTTAATGGTCAGATCTGAGTTCTCATCAGAGAAAAAGGAGAGAGCTGGGGCCAGGAGGATGAATACAAGAGAAAGAGAGGAGGGCAGGGGAGAAAGACATGAGAGCGGGAGGAGCAGCAGGAAGGGAGGGAGAGCCAGAAAGAAGGAGACGGCTGTGTAGAGCCTGGTTCCCTCTCAGCTAGACACACAGCCCCAGTACCCGTCACCTCGCTGAGCCCCAGTCCTCAGCTGTATGTTGAGGTTGACAAGAGAGCTGTCAATCTCCTCAGTGGATAAAGGGGAGCCATTCTTATGGCGCATTCACTGTCAGTATGGTACTGTTGTTATTTAGAGCCAAGTCTAGCCAAGTGGTTAATATAACTTCCCAACTGGGAGCAAGTGGATAGATGCAGGAGCACCCATGGGAAGTCTGGGGTGGGAAGTCCAGACCTAGAAGGTATGACTTCTTAGACCCACCTGCTCACCTCCTTTGCCTGCCCATCTTCCCTGAGCACAGTGAGGCTTAGACTGCCGTGGCCATGGTGGAGATGGACGATCAGAAGGAGAGGGTGGTGTGGCCAGGGAAGCAGGCAGCCATCTCCCTGTCCCTGTTATCAAAGGCTAAAGCTCTCCAGGCTCGTTGACTGTGTCATTATCATCCAACAGAGGCTTAATTCAGCTGTAATTCAGTTCTCAGAGAATATACAATAATGTGGGCGGTATGCGCCTCACTCTGTCATGACTTTATGGAAAAATGATTATTTGTCACCATGGTGAGAAGCCTTCAAACGAACAAGCAACCCAAGTGCTTTGCTGCAGAGGAAATTCACTATGACTCAGGCTACAAGAGTCAAGATTTTAGAGTCATACAGGCCTGAGTTCAAATCTCATCTTGCTAGCAGTGTGACCTATGCACGTTTCTTAACCTCTCTGGGCTACAGAGATAGGGATAATAAGAACCTACCTCAAGGAGTTGTAGAGGGAGTAAATGAGATCATACAACCAAAGCACTTAGCACTGTGCTTGGGGGTCTAATAATCAGCAGCAGGTATTAACTATTATTATTGTTATTATCATTTGCCTCTTGTGCAAATGTAAGGACACAGAATCACAGAATCCTAGATCTAGAAGGGCTTGCAGATGATTCAACTCACTTATTCCCCGAAAGTGTTCATTGGAACACTACCACCACCAGACACTTGGGGAATGCAGCATATAAATCCTCCTTGTTAACTGCATGGATATTAACATATTAAAGGCTCTGACAAGTCCTGCAGTAAGGAAACTGGTGTAAATTCCTTTAACTCAGTGTTTCCTACATTATTTGACCACAGAGCACTCACCTCCCTTTCCCCTCCTTCGATCCAAGAATTATTAAGATTCTCAGAATACAGGGAATGCTGATTTCATTTTAACTACTGATTTTATAGATGGGACAAATGAGGTCCAAAGAAAGGATCTAGCTTATCCAATGCACCTGCCAGGTCAGTGATGGAACTGAGGTTTCCTGCCCCCTAGTCAGACACCATTTTCTTCGTACAGGCCTTGCACATCAAATTCAGTGTGGTGGGGAGGAGAGAAGAGGGGTTCCGGCTGGGCTTGGGTCTAGGTGGGAAGGTGGGTGAGGGAGTGTAGATGGCCCTGCCGCAAAGAGGGGAACTCCTTCAGATGCTGAAGTCATGGACCCTTCCCAAGGCTGGTGTCAGGGGAGGGTGACACTGCCAAGCTGGTATCTGGGACCTGCTGCTCCATATCCCTCAAACAGGTGCGAGGGTCCCTAGGGAAAACTCCGAGTTCTCCAGCAGCAGCGATGGAATGAATATCTGCAATTGTGCTGCACCTGATTCTTTTAGGTGATACATTTCTCCACCTGACCCCTGACCTTACCAAGTCTCCTTCCTGATCCCAAATCTGGGACTGTGTCATGCATAACCCACTGGAGCATCCTTTTTAGAGACTAACCCACCTAAGCCTTCACCTCAGACCAGTGTCTCCCTGCCCACCCCAACTCCTCCCACTCCTGGGCAGGAATCACAGGATCCTGCATTTAGAGCTGGAGACCAGTAGGGAGCACTGGTGCTGGCTTGGTTCTTCCAGTTCTCATGCAGATTGCCCTCCTCCACTCCCTTCCCACCTTTGGGAAGCTCAGAAGCACCAGCAGACCCCCTCACCGGACTTCTGAGAAGTAAAGCCCTCTCCCAGGCAAGGAGGCTGTCCTGTTCTCTGCCACCCTCCCTAAGCCTTTGCTGCCAGAGTCCAGCAGGGTCCTCCTCCTCTATGTGAACCTCATTCACAAAGCTGCCCAGAGACTGGCGGGGCACAAGACACCACCAAAAGGGAGATGTCCTCAGCGGCCCGCTGCAGAGCTGTGTCTAACTCAGAGCCCCTCAGAGGTCTGCCAATGAGGTCCAAGAGTAAAGAGAAACATTCTGAAACCCAGCTCCTTTCCTTCCCCATACAAAGGAGGTATGTGAACATGTTGCCATCTTTTTCTTCCATAGCATCTCTCTGGCCTTGGAAGAGGGGGCTACAGAGATGACAGTGGAATAGAGTCCAGAGCCAGCACTTCCCCAAATCTGCACATGACATCTTGGGAAAGCTGGAGTAAAACCCATGAGTTTTAAGTTACTCCAACATGATGATGTTTGTGTAAAAGCTATCCTCTGATCGGCATAAGATCCTGGGGTGGGGCAGCACCCATGGCGAGTAGCCAGGGTGGTTGGTCACGTGCAGGCTAGAGGGCTGTGTGAGCAGGGTTCTGGAGGACCAGGCATGGCTGACGCCACAGAGGACAAGCTGTGGGGGACAGGTAACCCCTGGCCCCTCTGCTTTTCTGGACACAGGCACCTTGTAAGCAGTAGCCCTGCCCCTTAGGCATGCTCTAATCTGGAAGGAAAGGGCAGAGACCCAATCTCTGGTCTGTCATCAATGGCCAGTATTTCATGCGACTGTGCAAGAGGCTCTGCCTTTTGACCACTAAGAGCAAAGCAATTTTCCAGCGACTTCACCAGAGCTCCAAGTGATGGAGCAGAGGCTCAATGTTGTAATGGAAACCCCAGCCCCACGAACCCCAGTACCCAGCACGGGCCCAGCAGGCCACTCACCAGTCTCTGTGTTCTCGTGCTCCGTGTCGGTGAGCGTGAGGTTGGAGTTGGCCCGGCTGGACAGGCAGGAGCTGCGTCCCGACCGCGTGCTGCGGCCCCACAGCCGCACAGGGTGCTCGGGGGACAGCACAGTGTCGGCCTCCAGGTCGGCCTCGGAGCTGGCCCCCATGGAGTAGCCGCAGTGGGGGAGGCCTATGTCTGTCCGGTACAGGGTTCCGTGAGGGGGTGTCACCTCCCCCAGCCCTAGCTCACGCAGGGTGAAGTTGGCACCTGGGAGGAAAGGCAGGGGAGTTGGATTAGGGTGCTGGCGGGTGGTCTCCCCACCAGAAGCTTGACCCCTATCCCAGGACTCACTCTTGTCCTTGGAGCTTGCTGTGGTATTCCATGTCCAGGCCTTCCCTCTGTACCCTCCCCATCAACCCAAACCCTCCACACCCATTATAGAAGGTCCAGTGCAAAGGGCACCTCCTCTGGGAAGTCTCCCCTAATCCTACACCTTGTGCAGAAGTCACTGCTTCTTCCTCTGAGCTCGCTCTGAGAGTTCCCAGCCCTGCTCATCCTGCAGAGCCGAACCACTGAAGGGCCTGGCTCCTCTGCTGTAGATGGCCCCACAGGGTTAGGGACCACATCCTGCTCATTCTGAAATCCCTGTGACTAAAACTCAAGCGAGAACCCAGCACGAGCTCAATACAGATCTGCTAAATTGGATGGAAGGCTTCAGGCCTCCTCTTCCAGTCCAGGGAGGGCCAGCCAGCAAGGAGCACTCCCAAGCAGCACAGAAGCCTCATCCATGAGATGTCAGTGGCTCCCCAGCCAGGTCAGGAAAGCCTGGAGTAGTAAAGTGTAGAAGATAATCCCTGGCCCAGATCCTGAGCCTTGCCCAAGGAGGGAGGCTCTGCCTTCTGCTTGCTCATGCCAGGTGGGCTGTGACAGAAGTCAGCAGGCTCTGGAGTAACCCTGGGATCCAAGCACATAGCCAAGGCTAGGCTGCTGACAGGTCTCTCGAGGGCCAGGGAAGGCCTGAGGCCAGGAAGACATGGATGAGGGGGGTTCCCTCAGGGATCAGTGTTTGAGGGACAAAGGGAATACTGACTTCCATGGGAAACACAGCCTTGATGTTAGTCCTGAATGTTCATTCAGGGTCTATTCGGGGACAGCTTCTCCTCCTCTGAGTGTTTGGGGGGATGAGGAGTGGGCAGATGAAGGCACTGAGGGTCACATTCCGGTTAACCCACTGATCTGGGAGATGGACTTAGACCAGCACCAATCCAAGCTGTGCTGGGGCCTCTACTGATGTACAGGAATGAGCAGGGCGTGGAGCTTGACCTTACAGAGCTCACGGTCTAGTGGGGGAGACACAACCCAAATCAGGGGGTTGGTTTCACCGATTAGGGGTGAAAGTCCAAAGTGGGAGGAACCCAGAGAGTGTTCTGGGAGCACACAGGCAGAGGGTGGGGTGTCTGGGTGGGAGCTCAGAGGAGAGGTTTTCGGATGAGAGTAAGTGCAAAGGGTGGAGTAGGGGGAGAGAAGAGGTGGATGCCTGAGCTTTGAAGGATCCTACAAGCAGGGCTAGGACATAGGAAAGGGAGAAGGAACTGGCAGCCAGGTAGGAGGAGACCAGCAGAGATGGGCTCCTCTCACCATCGTGTGCATTACTATTACCAGTAACCCCTGTGCTCCCCGAGGGTCCTAGTCAGCTCCGTGTCCAGCACCCATCCTGCCTGGCACAGAGTAGGTGCTCAGTGAAAGTTGGTTAAATAATCAGACACACACACTCTGGTAGCACTCTGGGAGAAGGGGAAAGGGATAGGGAAGGTGAGGGGAGAAACCAGCTGGGAAACCTGCTGAAGGGAAAGATGTGAGGCTGGCAGCAGGCGGAGGGGTGGTTCATGCTGGCACAGCCTTGGCTTGAGATTAAAGGTATGAAATCGGTCCACAGTGGCTGGCAAATAACTGATGCCCGGCCTCCCCATCAAGTGTCCCCAGCCTGGGATCTGCCTTTTCCAGCCCCTTCCTTATAAACACCACCTACCTAGTTACTTAATGGTTAATGGTTAACATCAGCAGGCTGCACAGCAGGGGCTTCTGGGCTCAAGCTCCTAGCTAAGTCAACATTCTCATTGGCCAGAGCCAGTTAAATATTTTCAGTATCACCCCTAAATGCCATGCTTTAGTCTGCTCTCCTCTTTTGCTCTCTTCCTAAGTGGAAGAAAACTCCCAATTGGAGCCTCAATCCCCCGGTCAGCTTCCTACCCTTCCCACACACCACACTCACTGGCTGCCCCATCTGATGCCCTCTGGTCTTTGCCCACCCTTGTCCTGTCCCCCTCCCTTCTCTGCCACCATTCCCCCTGCCTCAGCCCACCTCCCTGCTCCTCCGGGCTTGCCCTCTCAAGGGAGGCCAGTCACATGTTACGAAGAATGACTGCTACATGAAGTGAAAAATCAAATTCATTTGCAATAAACAGCCAGGGCTGCATTGATTTCCATACAGTTTGCCCTGCATATCCTCTGAAGCAGCCAGACTCAGCATCAGTATGAGTGAGCTGAGATAGCCCAGAACTGGACAGATGCAAGGTGAGGGCTGCTGCTAAGGGCTCAGGGATCCTGTCCAGCCAGCCCAGTCCCTATGATATGTGAGTTTAGAAGACTTATTTCATCAAATGTGAGAAGTTCTTGTGATTGCTTTAAGTCCCTTTGGCCTCTTTCTGGAGAAGCCTGGATCACATGTTGACACTTTAATTCGTTCAACATCTACCTGTGCAACCGTAGGTGGGTGACATCTCCCAGGCCTCAGTGTTCTTGTCTTTAAAATGGGATGATAATTGATGACCTGCTGCTTCACAGGATTTCTGATGCTCCAGGGAGGTAATGAGAAGGAGAGAACTTTGTAAACTCAATACTCAAGCCTCCCTGTGAGCTGAGAATGTTTCCTGTTTGTTATTTATGAAGATAAGAGGGGCTCCTTCTGGAGTCCCATGTGCTAGGGTGGAATGTGGGCCAAGCTGGGCTTGGCAGGGCTCTCTGAGCTCTAATAAGCATGGGGAGGACAGAGCTGGAGGAAGGCTCTGACACCATTTGTCCTTTCCCTTCACTGAGGCCCAAAGGTGACAATTAGTAGCAGGCAGCATTTATGAAGCGACTGCTCCATGCAAGTGTCAAGCACTCTACTTACGGTCCTTATCAATCCTCCCTCCCCACCCTACAATGAGGAGCATCACTTATCCCATTGCCCAGGTGAAGACACTGAAGGGAATAAAAATGTCAGAGCTAGAATTCAAATCCAGAGCTGTCTCATGCCAGAATCAGCTGTTAATCATGAAATGGGACACAGCTGAAGATCCTTTTTCTTTAAAGCACAAGAGGCAGCCTAGCTAACAAGTCAGCTTTCACGTGGATCCAGGCCTGTGGGTGAGGCCAGGTAGGCTTCAGGGTATTTGGGGGCATGTCTGTGACCAGCTCCTCCTCCCTCTGTGATCTTGTGCGAATGAATTGTTGGGGTTGTTGTGAGGAGGAAATAACAATGCCAAAACGTATATAAATTACACAGCACAACACCCAGCTAGCCCTGTCTGTGGAAGGAAGAGGGCCAGGCATGATTAGGATGGGGTGCATGAACTGTCAGAGGCTTGTAGTGACCCGCCAGGCACTGAAGAGGGCTTAAGGCTCTGCAGGCAGTAAAACAAGAATCACTGAGGCACCAGGGCAGGGAACATACACTGCAGCAGGTGTGGGAATAATGAGCAGTCCAGCAGGGCTGGAGCATGGGTGATGGGGTGTGGAGAAGCAGAGGATAAAACAGTCCAGGGAGAAACTGATTTGGGTAAGCCCTCTCAGGTCAGTTTAAGGAGCTCATGTGAAGGGCAATGCAGTCATCCCAAACTTCACGTTAGCTGCAGTGCAGAGAATGGCCCAGAGGGGCAGCACTGAGTAAAGACGGGTTGTAGTCAACCCTCCCAGAGATGATGGTGGCCTGAATCTGGACAGTGGCAGAGGGAACAGAGAAGAGGGACGGATGTGAAAGCTATTCTGGTGTAGAATGGATAGACTTTAGTGACTTCTGTGTGTGGAGTGAAAGTGAGGGAGTGAGGCACCAGGATATCCCCACATTACTAAACGTTTAGGTCTATCTCAGGCGCATCTACCTCTCAAGGTCAGGACAGCGCTCGACACAAGGAAGGCGCTAAGATGTGTTTGTTGAATGAATAAATGCAGAAACAAATAACAAAACTAATAACTAAGACTTACTCAGCATTTGGCGTCGTCACACTTACCGCTTTACGTCACAACAATTCAGCGCAGCAGCGAGTACTCAGGGCCAACTAACAGGTGGGGACAGAGACTCTGAGGGGAGCGAGTGCTGGCTCAGAACTCAACCCCAGGCGGTCTGACACGGAGCCCAGCTCCTAACCACCTCATTATGCCCACAACGAAGGTGAGCACTGAAAAAAAAGAACCACTGGGCAGGCTTCGACCA